CTTATAAATACAGCTATGACTCAGTGGACTCTTCTAACATCATGCTGATTATTTCCCTTATTCTAGAATTATTATCTTTGTCTTGTTCAAAACTTGATAAGAGCAGCTCTGTATAATTTGTTCGAATCTAAGGTATCTCCTCACCTAGCACATCACTATCTAGATGATCAAACATGCAAGTAAAATGCATTCATAGGAAGTGGTGAGAAAATGTAAAAGTTGGAAACAAAAAAGGATCAGTAGTTGGAAGTACAGGGCCTTGGTGATAGAAATTAATCTGCAGAACACATAATAGAATTGTGTATGGCCAACGAGTTATTCATTGCAAATACCATTCCTAAAAGATGGAAACAAGAGTTATACACATGGACTTCACCAGGTGGAATACACAAGTATTGAATCAACCACATATATAGAAAGAAACAGTAGAGATGCTCAAACTCTTTCAGAACAAAGGCAGGGGCCCACTGTGAACCAGACCATCAATTGCTCACATGCAAGTTTAAGCTGAAGTTGAAGAAAATAAAAATAAGAACACAAAAGGGAAAATACAACCTTTAGTATATCCACATGAATTTAGAGATCCTCCAAAAAAATAAATTTAACAAAATACTGAACACTGAAGGCGAGAGATTAACATGAGTTGTGGAATGATATCAAGGATATTGTACATGAAGACAGCAAAAGATCATTAAAAAGACAGAAAATAAAAGACCAAATTGAATGTGATAAAGGAATCTGAATCTTGCTGTAGAACATAGAGCTAAATCAGATAGATACATGATGAAATAGGAGACCTCACCAGGTTTCAAAAAGCAGCCTTAGGAGACAAAGTACTATAACGAAAAGTGCAAAAACCTGCAGTTGGGGGGGGGGGCGTAAAGAAAGGAAGAACATAGAACATTACCCAAGCAGAAAGAACTAAAAATTCAGATCTGAACAAAATACTAAATGACACAAGAAACATTAAAAGAAGATGGAAGGAACAGAGTGTACAAGAAGGGACTGGTAGATATTGAACAATCTCAGAACTTAGCATATGATCAGGAACCAATGGTACTGAAGGAAGAAGTCCAAGCTGCACTGGAGGCATTAGCAACAAGTCAGTCTTCAGAAAGTGAGAGGACACAAAGATGTTTTAACAAACAGCTGTAGCTAGCCCTGGGCAAGCTCTTTAATCTATACTAAGAAATTTGAAAGATAGCTTAACTGACTAGTAAAATGGGAGAAATCCTATTTATGTCCATTCCAAAGAAAAATAATCTAACAGAATTTAGAAATTATCAAACAATAGCATGTAAAATTTTGCTGAAAATTGTCCAAAAACTATTAGAGCAGTCCAATGACAGCAAATTGCCAGAAATTCAAGCTGGATTCAGAAGAGGTCATGGAATGAGAGCTATGGTGTCAGATGGTCTTGGCTGAGAAAGATGTTTACTTGTGTTTTATTGACTATGCAAAAGCACTTGACTGGGTGGATCATAATAAATGATAGATAACATTGTAAAAGATGGGAATCCCAGAGCACTTAATTATGCTCTTGATGAATCTGTACATAGACCCAAAAGCAGTCATTTGAACAGAAGAAGGAAATACTGCACAACTTGAATCAGGAACGATGTGTATGAGAGTGGTATTCTTCCAGTATATCTATTAAGTTGGTATATTAAGCAAATCTAAGGAACTGACATATGAAGAAAAATGTTATATCAAGATTGAAGGACGACTCATTAACGACCTGTATTACTACGCAGTTAGGTATTACCACCTTCTTGCTAAAACTGCCGAGAACTTGAAACAGAAAAACCTAAAAAACTGCAGCCTTTGGAATGGATTACACTTTAGCATCAAGAAAACAAAAAATCCTCACTATTGGACCAACAGGCAATAAGCTAAAAAAAAAAAAAAAAATGAACATTGTCAAGGAACATCAGGTCGCACTTCCTCCAAGGCAGACTTGTCAGTCCACAGGATATTCAGTCCTCTTCTCCAAAACCACAATACAAAGGCATCGATTCTTCTTCTGTCTTCCTCATTCATTGTCAAATTTGCAGATGCATAGGAAGCAATTGAAAAAACCATGGCTTGGATCAGGCATGCTTTAAAAAGTCTTTAAACAGACTTCACGGTGTAGATATCAATTGACATACCTCAAAAAACAGATGCAGCCCAGGATGTGTTCTCTAGACTATACCAAGAAATTTTAAATACAGCTAAACTGGTCAGCTGACTGGAAGAAATTCATATTTGTTCTGATTTCTAAAAATTTTGATCTAATAGAATGTGGAAATTATTGAGTAATATCATTAATGTCCCATGCAAAGATAATCTTACTAAACATACCTGGAACAATACACTGACAGGGAACTGCTGGAAATTCAAACCAGATTCTAAAGAGAGGATCTTGGCTGAAAGCAGAGAATACCAGAAAGAAGTTTATCTGTGTTTTATCAACTAAGCATAGGCATTTGACTGTATGGATCATAACAATTTTGGATTGAGAAGAATGAGAATCTGAGAACACTTAAATGCATTCATGTTACTTCTCCATAGACCAAGAAACTGTTGGCAGAACAAGGACACAGTACATGGTTTAAAGACAGGTAAGGTGTGTGTTAGGGTTGTAGCCTTCTGCTACACCTATTCAATCTGTATGATGAGCAAATCTCTTGAGAAGATGGACTTTATGAAGAAGAATACGGCATCAAGATCAGAAGAAGACTTATCACAACCTGTAGTATGCAGATGACCATGCTTGCTAAAGTGAAGAGGACTTGAAACTTGTTGGGAAAGATCAAAGACTACAGCCTTCAATATGGGTTATATCTCAACATCAAGAAAACAAAATCCTCACCACTGGACTAATGAGCTGCATCAAGATAAACAGAGAAAAGATAGAAGTTGTCAACAATTTCATTTGACTTAGATTTCTTGCCCCGTTACTCAGGATGTTGATTGTGAATCCAAGATTCATTGCATTGAGAAAATTTGCTGATCTTAAGGTCCCCCTTTCACTTTGGGTAGTTATGAAAATACAAAAGTCTTTAATCAGTCAAGGAATGAAATAGTATCTCTTGAGATAACAACAAAGAATTTGCTTCTAATTAGCCCCAAAGATGTTAGGTACATATTAAAGTTTGAGAAGCACAAGTCTCAGTAGGACCTGTCCATTTTTGAAAAACTTTTATGTTTTCTTGGAAAATCAGAAGACATTTTGCCCTCTTCCTAGTAGTTCTTATTTGCCCTCCCCCACATGCACAAATATCTCTGCCTCACAATTTTCTCAAAATAGAGAAATTATCCCAAGAAACAGAACTGATAGAATTCAATAATAAAGGACTTTTCCTTGTAATTGTTTCATTTAATTTTCCTTATGGATGTTTTAGCCTTTCCTTCTGATGTTTATTTCTTTGAAAAACAAAGCAGTAGAAAAGCCCGAGTTAAAAACTGTCCCATGTCAAACTTATATTAATACCCAGTTTACATCTTGTGGTGTAGGAACTCAAAGGTGAAAATTTGTCAGAAAACACTTGAGGTTTTGCTTACCTTTGAAATGCCATTCATCTGAGCATTCTCTCTTTTAAATAGCTACGCGCTGCTGCTTTTATACAAAATATTTAGGCTTTCTTGTGGAAAGTTGCCTTAGAATCCAACAGAGAAAGCTTAGTTACATTTATGTTCGTTCTGTTTTCCTGTCTTTCCTCCTAAACCCTTCCAAAGGTTTTAGTTCCGCTATTCTGTGCCTGTGTCACAGTAATTTAAAGCTGCAAATATCTGCAAATATGATAGCTCAATAAATGAGTAAAGTGCATGCACACTTTCCAGTTTCTTCGGCAAAATAGCCACACCCTTAAATCACTCATTGCTGGAGGAACGCCTCTTTGCCGTGACGTACAGCTCAAGAGTCCTCTTGGTGCCGCTACTTCTCGCCGGGCGTGGTGGCGCGCGCCTGTAGTCCCAGCTACTCGGGAGGCTGAGGCTGGAGGATCGCTTGAGTCCAGGAGTTCTGGGCTGTAGTGCGCTATGCCGATCGGGTGTCCGCACTAAGTTCGGCATCAATATGGTGACCTCCCGGGAGCGGGGGACCACCAGGTTGCCTAAGGAGGGGTGAACCGGCCCAGGTCGGAAACGGAGCAGGTCAAAACTCCCGTGCTGATCAGTAGTGGGATCGCGCCTGTGAATAGTCACTGCACTCCAGCCTGGGCAATATAGCGAGACCCTGTCTCTTTTGACTTTTCTTCCCATTGTTTTTTGGGGAGTGGAGTGGGGGGAGCAAGGGAGGAACTTTTCCACGTTTTTCATCTTCTTTCTCGATTCTTTTTTTTTTCTCTCCTCATTTATTCAGTTTTTTATTTCAGTTAAATCACATTTTTTCCATACAATCATTCATAGACACTTGGCTTCATAGCAATCTCCATTTACTGACGTCCATTAATTATAATGTCTAATTCTCTTTCCCATCACTCAATGTCCTATTTATTATTAAGTTTTACTCCTTTCCCTAGTCTTATCATTTGGCCAAGCATTTACGGAGCAACTACTCTTAACAAAAATAATAGTTCTACTTCCTTATATTTGAAAATTCTACACATCCAAGTTAGTAGCTGAGTTGTAGAGTTGCGTGTTGTTCCATGCTGACCACTGTTAGCTCTTCTGAGAAAAGCTGAGAAAATCGTTATGGCCAGCAGGAGTCACTATTGAGGCGTACTTAGTCACGAAATACACGCTGTACGGTAACCTGACTAGTCTGAAATCATTCAAGGAATAAATGTGGTTATGAAAGAATAATTATGGTCTGTTTGAAATTGGTTTAGTGTCAAAAATATCAAATGGAAGGCAACAAAATAGTTAAATTGTCAGAAACGTGACGTAGTACTTTCGTTTCAAGAAATATTGGCCCTTATGAGCGACCGTAGCACTCCGCAGGTGCGCCTGCGCGGAAGACTGGCGGAGTTAGTGCACCGAGGAAACTGCTCTAGTTGTGACCCTCAAGCCTCGCCATGAAGACCCGCTTTAGCACCATTGACATTCGCGCGGTCCTTGTAGAGTTGAATGCCAGGTACGGTCCGACCTGTCTCGTGAAATGCGTGGATGAGGCAGAGGCGGGTGCTCCACGGTGTAACAAGACCTGCTGTTAGACCTTGGTCCCTTTAAATGCTGTCCTGTGTACAAGGCTGGGCCTGGATGGTGAACGCGGGGCGCTATGCCCGTGGCCCTCGTCCACTGGGGGTCTCCAGCGGCCGCGTGCCCCTTCCCTGACTCCTCGGGGCTCGCCTATCTCTTGCCGGCTAGCTCGAGGCTCTCCCTTTGTCTGTGATCTTTTGCTGTTTCTACTTCGCTCTCATGGACTCTCCCAGACGACTTCCGGCAGCAAAAGCTTCTTAGACTACGACAGCGTTGGACACCAGCTTGGTCATTCACTCCCGAGATTTCTCTGCACACCCCTTTACTCCAGATAGAGAGATCGCGCTAGCTGAAGTTAACAGTATTGGATGAACCGGAGTTCTAGACTAGTTAATCTTAGTCAGCCCTCTAACTTTGGGCGTTACATTAAAAATCCCTAAATGAATTGGGGTATATTTTATTATAGTTTATAAAAAAATACTGATTTATTTAAAAGATGCAAGCTGATTGACCACTGTTACTTTTACATAACTTAATGCTTTGGGTTGTTTGCGTCCTTGCTTCTGATTGCCGATAACCTTAGAATGTAACAGTCTAATTTCTGCGCAAATTGAATGCTTGCAGTTTTGCGACTGAAAAACTTAATGATATATTACATGTTTGCTTTTTCTTTGCAGCTTGCTAGGAATGAGAGTAAACAATGTTTATGATGTGGACAACAAGACATATCTTATTCGTCTTCAAAAGTAAGGACATGTTTGTATGCTACTTTTATGTTGGTAATCATTTATAAGCTTATTGATATTTTCACCTGCACTTGTAGTTTGTTTCACAAATTCGACATTGGCAAAGGCCCTAAAGAAAATAGTTCTTTTTTTAATTTTTTTTTTTCTCCTACAGACCCGACTTGAAAGCTACACTTGTGATAGAATCTGGCATACGAATTCACACAACAGAGTTTGAGTGGCCTAAGAATATGATGCCGTCCAGTTTTGCTATGAAGGTAGGCTGTAAGTCAGAAACTAGCTATAGATATTTATTGATTTCTCGTTTCACAATTACGTTCTACGTCTTCTGCTGGTCACCTCTTTGGAAACTTTAATTCCGTTTTCTCCATCATAGCAATTCTGTAGCCTCATTAATTTTTCTAAAGCATTTTCATTTCTTATCTCACTTTCATGATTCAGCATTTTTTTGCGTCCATGTTCTTTTTTTAATTTTTTTTTAAATGTCTTTTTTTTTTAATTTTTATTGTATTATTTTTACGTGTACCGTCAAATCAGATCTGACTGGTACAGGAGGAGATTACCCTCTCCTTCTCCAGCAGAGCATCTGGTGGAATTGAACGGCGTACTTCTGGGATTGCAGTGCAGCATTTTGCCACTAGGCCACCAGAGCTCCCTTGAGTCCATGTTCTTTATCTTGCTCAATGTAGACTATCTAGAATCTGGACTTCTTCCACCCCTCCATTCTTCTGAAAACTTTTATGAACTGTATAAATTTAAGCCCAGTGTTGTCAGGTATATTTCAACTCACATCCACATGTGTTAGAGTAGAACTGCTCTATGGCTTTTTCTGGGCTCTGATCATTAAAGAAGCAATTAATGCATTCATGGGTTTGAGGTGCAACTATTAGGTTAGTTGCCCACTGCAAACTGCTTGAGTCACTCATGCTTCTGTGAACTGTATACTTCTACCCAAACTGTACTTAAGACCCCAAGTAAACCACAAATTCATTACTTCTTTTTACTTTCTCTCTTCTATTGTTAAAACTTTTTTACATTTTTACAGAGATTTTATGTTTGTAGACATGTAATCTTCTCTTAACATGATATATACACTCAAAGTGCTTGTGGTATGGAGGAAAAACTGTAGAGTCAGATACAGTAATGCCTGGGTTATGAATAACCAATTTGTGGACAACTTCTTCTTGTCTGTTAATGTTGCATAGATTTGCCTTCATTGTGGAAAGATTAAACCAATCTCTTGCCAGAAATTCTTAATCACCTCATTACCATCACTTGTTACTCATATAGCTGTTAAAGCATTGAAAAGCCTTCAAGCCTATCTACACTAAATAAGATTACACTGAGTTAATCTAATAAGTTACACTAAATAAGAACACTGCACACCTATTTGAACTTATTCAGAAATTTCACTTAAAGACACTTAGGAGTGGATATTGTTTGTAACCTGAGGAGTGCTTATGTACATAACCCTGAATTTTGTAACCCAGAGCAAATGACTGTGGAAATTATCAAACAATATCATTAATATCACATGCAGGCAAGATTCTGCTGAAGATTATCCAAAAATGACTGGAACAGCACATCAGTAGAGAACTGCTACAAGTGCAGGCTGGGTTTAGAAGGGCTCGTGGTACTAGGGATATTGTAGCTAATGTTAGATGGATCTTGGCTGAAAGCAGGGAATACCAGAGAAATGTCTATCTGTGTTTCATTGACTGTGCAAAGGCGTTTGACTGTGTGGATCATAACAAACTGGGCCTGACTCTGAGAAGAATGGGAATCCCAGAACACTTGATCGTGCTAATACTAAACTTACACTTGGACCAGGAGACAGGCATTAGAACAGAGGAAGGAAAGATTGCATGGTTCAAAATTGGGAAGGGTGTATGCCAGGGATGTGTCCTATCTCCATACCTTTTCAACCTATATGTAGAACAGATTATTCGGGAGACTGGGCTCTATGAGGAGAAATGTGGCATCGTGATTGGAGGAAGACTCATCAGTAATCTGTGTTATGCAGATGACACAACCCTGCTTGCTGAAACTGAGGAGTACCTGAAATGCTTGCTGTGGAAGGTCAGGGACTACAGCCTTCAGTATGGATTGAGGCTCAATATCAAGAAAACAAAGATTCTCACCACTGGGCCAATTGACAGCATCATGACAGATGGTGAAGAGATTGAGATTGTTAACAGATTTAGTTTGCTTGGCTCCACAATCGACACTCTTGTCACCAGCAACCAGGAATTAAAAGATGTATTGCAATGGGAAAGTCTGTGGTTAGAGATGTCTCTAAAGTACTGAAAAGCAACAATGTCAGTCTGGAGACTAAGGTGCACCTGATACAGGCCATGGTCTTTGCAATTGCTTGCCATGCATCAGAAAGCTGGACAATGACTAGGCATGATAGAAGGATAATTGATGCCTTTGAGCTGTGGTGTTGGAGAAGAGTATTGAATATACCATGGGCTGCTAAGAGAATGAACAGGTTTGTTCTGGAGAGGGTGAGGCCAGGCTGCTCCTTGGAGGCAAGGATTCTGAAGCTTCGCCTGACATACTTTGGACATGTTGCAAGGAGGGACCAGTCCTTGGAGAGGGATGTCATGCTTGGGAGCATGGAGGGACAGCACAGAAGAGGAAGACCCTCGATGAGATGGATTGTTTCCATGATTGGGGTAATGGGCGTAGGTGTGTCAGAGACAGTAAGATTGGCACAGGATAGAGCAGGATTTAGAACTGTTGTCTATAGGGTCACTATGAGTTGCAGGCAACTCAATGGCACATAATAACTATAACATACTTCTATTCTCTTCAAGAATTTTATCTTACACTGTCCTGAGTAAAAATATTATAGGGAGTAGAATCTTGGGACAGATGTGATTCCCTTCCCACCCCCCCACCCCCCCCAGGATTAAGAACCTAGTTGGTCACTGTTTAAACAAAAAATCTGGATAGTGTTGTTTGTGTGTTCATGGAGTCGAGAGAAGAGCAGTGAGAAGAAATGTGGGTTTTCAGGGGGTGCCGCGGGCTGCTCCAGTCAGGAGGGGCTTGTAAGCCTGAGGTCTAGGGTCTCGAAGAGGGAACACGAAGGTGGGTAGAAGTTCAGCGAAGGGACGATGAAAGAACCCAAGACAAACAGTCAAGTGATCTTGATGATTTTAATTCTAAGTCATTCTAATTCTCCTTCTTTCTTCCTTTTCCTTCTTATTACATTTAACATGATACATTTATATTCCATTTTTACAGTTATGGGCTTAATCAACAGCCAGAAAAACAACAGAAGTAAGAATAAAGTTTACATTATTTTCGTGCACACAGCTATTCTTTATGGTCATGGTTCCTTGGTAATTGGAGAAAATGGTAGACAATGGCTTTTCGCGGAAACATTTCTTTTTTAAACCTGTTTTCAAACCTGTTTTTCAACTTGTTTGGGTTACAAAGTTACAAAGTAAAAGAGTTACATTTTAAATTTAAGCTGATACATTTTACATTTTTAGCTGAATTTACAATATTATTTATCTCCATTCAAAAGACAACACTTTTACACTTTCCTTTATTCCAGGAGTGGTCACTATCTCAATAAGGGGGTTTAGGTTTATACAAAAGGTGTTTTGGGTCATAATATTGCCTAAATTCATCATTCCAATCTTGTGTCTCATGATCTATCTTACCACCTATACCTCGCATAACATCTTTCCTTTGGTCACTTTCAAACCTTTTGAAAAATATATCCCAAAAACCATCAGGGTGTTTTGCGTTAAATTCATCATATTTTCCAGTATATGGAAGAGGTTTATCTGTAGGCTCTGGAATTCTGTAAGGGCCTCTCCCTATAGAGGGCTGCCACAAACAACCATTACCTAATAGATAAACAACTCTTCCACCTGGTGTTTTCATGGTGGGGGGCAAGGGTTTGGGTTTTTCCTTTGAAGGAGTTCTTATAAACCCTAGAAATCTAGGAATCTCTGGAGTGGTCATCTCTGGGATTTCCACCATTAATTTTTCTTGTTATAATGCATCCATGAATTCCCTTAAAATCATATTGTTCTTGAGAAGTTTTAGTAATGCTAAAAGAACCGGAGGTAATGTTTGCGTATCAAAGTCGTCACCTCCATTTAATTCTTTCTGGGAACATCTAACAAACTTTTAGTAGGAACACTTTGTGTAAAGAACACAGCCTTTCCCCCCGTCCCACATAGAAAACCCACAGAGACAATAGAAGATAAATTACAGAAAGGCCAAGAACAATCATGGAGAAAGCACACGTTCCGAGAGGCTGACTTCCTTGAAGTTTTCCCCTCAATCGGATGATTTTGTCACGCAGATTCCCTTGGAGTTGGTGTGGCAAGGGGGTCATTGCTCTCTCAGGCAAATGAAACAGAGATTTTGAAGCCCCTGTTTTTATTAGCAGTAAGTCAAAGCTTACAGTAAAGCATGATCTCATAGGGTGGGTGAATGTTTAAACGTATGGAACAAAGCATAGATAAGCATGAACAGTTTTCAAGAGAACATCTTTGTACTCATGAACAGGGTCTTACTGCACCCTTACCAACCCTATCAAGAACTTTAGAAAATAGTCTTTGTTTAACGGAGAACTTGCAAATCTCTTTTATGTTGGTGTATGTTCCAGGGAGTATGAGAGTGCTTTCAGTCCCATCTGTTCTTGTTATTGACTGCTTGCTTTCAGGCATTGAAGCCAAGCCCTTTTGCATGTATTCCACAGCCACTATTATCATAGCCACTATTAACCCTGTGTGTTCCAGAATGACCCTACAGTATGGGTCACTCTTAAATAAGAACTGTTAGCAAAAGGAGGGAAGATTGTTTAGTCTGGCAAGTTGCCTGCACACTTAAGTCTTAAAGTAAAAATTTTAGTTAAGTTATAAAAGTTGGAAAAAAAAACTCTTTGAAGATTTTAAAAGTAAAACTAATTTTAAGAATGAATGTGTTTTGAAGGTAGTTTTGTTAAATTTAAGTCTTGAAGAAAAGAAAGCAGTTTATTTTACTGGTCTTGACTGAAAGGTCTTCAAAAGTAAGATTTTATGACCCTTTAATAGCGGCAGAGGAGTCTGGTTTCTGGTCCATACCATACTTAGATATCAGCACTTAAGGGTGGTACTGTAAAACTGTAGATATTTACCAAGTTGTTTGGGTTTGCCATGCTGGGGTTTTTTATTTTAATTGCTAAAATAAGCTTGGAAGCAGGAGTGGCATCCACTTCGAACTAGCTTGCCTCTGGAAACTGTATGAACTTGGAGAAACAATGACAGTTATACAAGTATTCAGGTCTTTTGTTCATAGGGTCACTATGAGTTGTCTACGACTCAGTGGCACTTTACAACACAACAACAATAATAACAAGAACCTTATAGGTTGTTGTTGTTAAGTGCCATTGAGTTGCAGGCAACTCATAGTGACCCTATGAACGAAAGTCCTGGACATCTCCTGTATTTCTTTCATCCTTTCCCCAGGCTCATAGGTAGTAAGAAGAATAGTTTGTGAGCATATGTGGTAATTGAAATTGACTAAGATGGGGGACTAATTTATACGGGCTCAAGGATGACAGAGATGATGAGGATGGCACAGGATAGAGTAAGATTCAGATCCATTGCTCATAGGGTCACTGTGAATTGTAATCAACTCGATGACACCTAACAACATTAGGTTCATGAGTTTGTATTTAAAATGACAGATAACTGGAAACCATAATTAATTTTAAACATGAATGAAGCACATGAAAGGACAGTTTGGGTTATTTAAAAGATTGGAGTAAAAAAAGACTTAAATAAAAGACCTAAATGAGGTAATGAAATGAGATGAACCTTATTTTAAACCAGCAAAACAGCTGTTGTATAAATCTGTCATTTTCTGCTTGAAAATTGTAGAAGGTTAGCTAGTTAACAGTTCTCTTAACATAAAATGTTTTATCTCTTATTATCATCTGTAGGGATTTATTTTGTCAATATTATTTACTGTTTTTTAAAAAAATATTACACATGATAAAAAAAATTTTTAAATCATCACCAATTGTTTTGGAGTTAAGTTTTACTGTATAAATTATTTTTTCCTTTTATCACTTCTTAGTGCCGAAAACATTTGAAGAGTCGAAGATTAGTCAGTGCCAAACAGCTTGGTGTGGATAGGATTGTAGATTTTCAGTTTGGAAGTGATGAAGCTGCTTATCACTTAATCATTGAGCTCTATGACAGGGTAAGTTAAATTTGGGGACATGGGATGATGAATTCATCAATAAATTGTTAATCATTCATGTATGTAACTATGTTTATATGGGTAACTGTACATAACTATGTAAACAAAACATAACTGTGTAAATATGAGTGGGGACATTTTTACTTTGTTAAAAGCTATTGATACTAAGAAAATAATCATGTACCACACAAGTAAAATACAAACACTCCACATTTACATGATTAAGTTTTAAAGACTGGGCCATTAAGGGAAAATAGTGTGTGGGAGAGAATTGAGGGCCCTCTGTGACCGTTTGATAGAATGACAATGAGTGGGAGAAGGAACTCTAGTGGCCTAGTACATCAGATGTTAGCATTGCTAACCAAAGGCTGTTTTTCTTGTGGTTCAAATCTACCAGCTACCAGCTGCTCCAATGGGGAAAAAAATAAGCAATATTTTTTAAAAAAGGTTTGATTAGACAGTGTAAGTAATCATGTTAATTATTTGTAATTAATGTGATGAAACAAAATGTGTATGAGTGAATGTGTGGGAACGGATAGGATTTGTGAACTTCCACTCAAAAAATAAATGGGAAAGAAGAAAGATTACAGCCTCAGAAACCTCTAGAGGTTCAGTGTTCATTGGAGCCATCTCTCCAGCCATGAGCTTGGTTTTGAGTTTTGAGGGGTAGTCCTTCAGTGATTTTTAACTGGGACTCACTCCTTGTATATTGTCCAACAAAAACTATGTTCTTTTTTTTTTTTTTTAATTTTTTTTTTATTTTTTATTATTTTGTGTGCGTGTACCATCAAATCAGATCTGACTGGTACAGGAGGATATTGCGCCTCCTTCTCCGGCAGAGAAAAACTACGTTCTTTATTGAACTCAGTGTTCATTCTGCTGGTGCTTGGAAGATAATAGAGCTTTTTTATCTCTGTGATTTTAAAGAAATTCCTCTCTTCCCGCCCCTCTGTTTAGTTTTTATATAGTCATGTAATAATTTGCCTAGATGATATTTTTTTGTATAAACCGCAGTGCAGCCTTAATGGTTCTGCTTCATGCATGTGTAATACAAGCTCAGCTGATGGTCGTCAAGATATTAGCTATACATCTGTTAGTGACTTCTACAGATCAGAATTGAAAGTAGCTCTAGATTTCTTCATTGCGTTTCAGAATGTTTTCTTTAAAACTATATTATTGTACAGTATGAAAGATAAAAAAGGAAGACTGGGCAAATAAAAGAAACGTTCCATCGTTAGATGTGACTTGGGCTCTTACTGTTTCAATACTTCAGTATTTTAAACAGTAATTAGGTTTTTGAAAGACCGTTTCTTCTTTCTCCCTTTTTAGGGAGTTTTAAGAATGATTTGGAAAAGCATTAAGTTATGTCTTATTCCATTACAGGGGAACATTGTTCTTACAGATTATGAGTACCTAATTTTAAATATCCTACGGTTTCGAACTGATGAGGCAGATGATGTTAAGTTTGCTGTTCGAGAACGATACCCAGTTGATCATGCTAGAGCTGCTGAACCTTTACTTACCTTGGACAGGTAACATGTTTTGTCTATCAGTTGATTCTTATATTAAAAGGTATAATAAGTCAGATGTCAGAATAAAATTGTCAGATACGAGATTATATTTACTTGGATAAAATAGCTAAATTCAGACTCTTTAAAAAAATTAATTTTAATGAACGTTTACAGACAGGATTTCCATTCAATGTTGCACTTTTTTCACTGCCCACCCCTCCCTCCCAATTTGCTCCTCTCTTTGAAAAGTAAAAGAAAAAATTCTTTCATTGTTATACAACACCTCCCCCCAAGTCCACTCTTGTGTAGCGTTCTTTTTGGACTCCTGTCATGATAATAATGCATAATCATATATCTCTTTTAACAGTTCTCTCCCTCATCTGTTTCAATGCAGTATACATTATTTATTCCATCTTTCTCAGTCTCCCTCAACCCCAAGTCAGTCCCATTTTACAACAGTGACACTATGCAATATTTGTCCTTTTGTGACAGAGATATTTCACTTAAAATAATGTCCTCCAGGGTCAACCATTTTGTATAATATTTCATAAGTTCCTTGTTTTTCAATGCAGCATAGTGTTCCATTGTGTGACTATACCAGAGCTTCTCTATCCATTCATTTGTTGATGGGCACTTGGGTTGTTTCTAACTCTTTGCTATTGTGAACAAAGCAGCAATAAACATGGGTGTGCATATATCTGCTTGGGTGGCGGTTATGATTTCTTTAGGGTAAATTCCCAATAGTGGAATTGTTGGGTCGAGTGGTATTTCTATTTGCAACTTTTTGAGAAAGCAACGTATAGCGTTCCATAGTGGTTGCACCATAAATTCAGACTCTTAATCGATGTAAATATGCCTGGAGCCAGTTAACCTTACTTGTGAGTAGTAAATGTGTGCTTTTCTAAACTGGATTTGGGCTACTTCAGATATAAATTATTATGTCCTGGTAAAGTGAAGGGAGTTATTAGCTGCCTGTGAGAAGAGAATCTTGGACAGAGTGCAGAGGAGATAGAATTTCTTATGTAGTGAATTAAACGAAGCACGGTGGGCGAAACTGATGACTGTAGCTCAGGTAGTCTAGTGGTGAGACTGTTAACTAATAACAAATAGCGAATAGCAGTGATTTTCAAAGTTGATTTCTCAGGATCACCAGGAGGGCTTATTAAAGCATGAATCGATAAGCCCTGCTTCATAGAGTTTGTGATTCAGTAGAACCAATGTGTTTATATATTTTTTAAAATTTTTTTATTATTAATTTCAGTAAAAATTTACGGAAAGTTTGGATTTGCATTCATTTATTATTGCACTTTTCTCCCTGCCCAAATATGTTTATATTTTTAAGAAATCCTGCAGTGTTATTGATGCTGCTGGTCTAGGTACCACACTTTGCCAAACACTAGCGTGCACCATCCTTCAGAGTCTCATTAAATACTTTATTTAATCCATTTCAATTGTTAAGCTATAGCAGCAGGATCTATATAGACTTTTATAGAAAATGTTTCATATCATTTCACTGTGAACAAATTGAACATATACAAAATGATAACAGGTGAAACAGTACAAATTTATTTAGGAATTTTCCATTTAAGTTCCAGTCCTGCAATTCCTGTTAATATCCAAAAAATCGAAGACTCTGTAACCCAGAATCTTATTGAAAGTCAGGTGAATTGATACATCTGAAAATGCAAACTATAAATATATCTAGGCTTGCATAAGATTTCTTGAACTTACGGTAGTATATCAATTTTGTTTTATAGACTGACTGAAATAATAGCCAGTGCACCTAAGGGGGAACTACTGAAGAGAGTGCTTAATCCCTTACTTCGTGAGTAAATTTACATCTGACACTTAAATATTTGCAAGATAATGTGTTTCTCAAGAATATATTTACATTTTAATGTAAATTTTAATACATTCAATTGTAATTACATTTTAAATTTTAATTTAAATTTAAGAGATTCATAGCAACCCTTTAAAATTACTTTGTGTTAGTATACTTTAACATATTTTTTTGGTTGTTTTTATTTGCATGAAGGTTTATAAGTCTTACTGTTCTCATAGACATTTTGTTTTATCCCATTAATTACCATTGATTGCCTCACCTCCTCTATGCCATCCTGTCTGAACCAACTCAGTAGGTGACTCTCTAGTGGGTGTTTAGAGTCTGCAAATTTCATGAATTTGCGTGTCATCCTTGCGCAGGGGCCATGCTAATCTTCTCTGTATCGTTCCAATTTTAGTATATGTGCTGCCGAAGTGAGCACTAGAGTCTGTAAATTTCAAAGGAGGAAATTAGCCATCTTTTTCTTGCAGAGCAGCTGAAGGATTCGAACTGCTTGCTCTTGGATTGGTAGCACAGCTCTACCCTAGGCCACCAGAGTGCCATGCCATTGATTAGCATAGTGAATTAATTTTTATATTTGATTAATCTTTTATAGTGGAAAGCATAGTTTATAATACCATGTTGTTCTTATTGTTATGTGCCGTCGAGTCTCTTGTGACTCATAACGACCCTATGTACGAGACTCCTAAACCCTGCTCTATGCTGTGTCTGACTTTTGTTTGTTTAAATGGTGTGCTTTAGGATTACTTTCTCCATATCTGTTCAGTCTGTATGCTGATCAGATAATTGAGAACCTAGAATGTTTAAAGAAGAATGTGGCATCAGGATTGGAGGTAGACTTATTAACATCCTGCCTTATGCAGAAGACATAACCTTGCTTACAGAACATAAAGAGAACTTAAAGCACTTGCTGCTGAAGATCAGCAATTACAGCTTTCATTATGGATTAATTCTCAGTGTTAAGAAAATAATCCTCGCCCCTAGGTCAGTAGGCAAAATCATGAGAGATGGAGAAAAGATTGAAATTGTCCATAGTTTCATTTTATTGGGATCCATAATCAACACCCAGGGCAATAGCAGTCAGGAAATCAAGAGATATGTTACACTGGGAAAATCTGTCGTCAAGGACCTCTCCAAAGTTCTGATGAGCATGATGTCAGTTTAAAGATGAAGGTGTGCCTGATTCAAGCTGTTGTATTTTCAGTTGCTTTTTATGCATCTGAAAGTTGACAGTGTATAAAGGTAACAGAAGAACAATCTGTGCTTTTGAATTGTGGCGTTACAGAGGAGCAGTGAATATACCATGAACTGCTAAAAGAACAAACAAATCTATGTTAGAGGATGTACAACTAAGGTGCTCCCTAGAGGCAAAGATGGTGAAACATCATCTCACATAATTTGGACATGTTGTTGAGAGGAGCCTGTCCTTAGAAAAAGACATCCTACTGGGAAAGGTGGAGGTTCAGAGAAACAGAGGAAACTATTAATGACATGGACTGACACAATGACTGTAACAGTGGCTGGAGTATGAGGAGATTGTGAGGATTGCACAAAATAGGGCAGGGCTATTGTTCATGGAGTCACAGTGAGTCACGGTCAACTTGAGGTACCTAACAGCAACAGTGGTGTGCTAGCTAGCATTTTAATGGGAGCTGTAGTAGTATATATAGTATGAAAGAAAGATTTCTGATATTTCAGAATGATTCTGATTTAATAACCACGTATTGTGGCCTTTTTATTGATGAATCTCAGCGCATGATGCCAGAATCTCTCAGGACCCTTTGATAAAGAGAATACATTTTCAGTCATCACTTATCCTGCATTAGAAACCATGACTGGCACTGGTGAGAACTATGCATTTGATTACTGACATTTTCCCTCTTCCATCAAATTAGAATACACAGAAAGTTATCTTGAGAAATTTTGAATTTGTTAAAATATATGTAAATTTGTATATTTGAATTAAGAAAAAAACCCTCTCAAATTCCTGTAATTCATTTAAATCCCTTATTGTTAGTCCTTCAAATTTAGTCTACCTCCTTTGCATTTCTTTTCCAGTTTTATGATCAGATTTTTACTTTTTACAAGAAAGCCTGCTGGAAGCTTAATAGGATTATATGGAACATATAGATTAATTTTTTAAAGCTGCCATCTTAACTATATTGAATCTTTCATCCCATGCACAGGACATTTCTTGCCATTTTTCTGAACCTAGCATTTCTCTCAGCTAGTTTTTAGTACTTTTACTAATTTTGGTAAATTTCTTTGGGTATATTCTTTTGGATGCTATTGTGCATGTAATTTTATCCTTAAATTCCATTTTTGGGTAGAAATATATGATGTTATATATTGATTTTTTTGGGGGGTTTATCTTGCATACTTACCAAAAGTGTTTTTTGTTTTGTGAATTCCTTTATGTTTTCTAACATAAAGGCTCATTTCACCTTTAAATACTCTTTGCCTCTTCCTTTTGAAGCTGGGTGCGATGGCTTTTTTTAAAAATTTATTTATTTTTTTATTTTATTATTTTTGTGTGAGTGTACCGTCAAATCAGATCTGACTGGTACAGGAGGAGATTGTCCCTCCTTCCCCGGCAGAGCATCTGGTGGATTTGAACTGTGCGCCTCTGGGATTGTAGTTGCAGCTCCTTACCACTAGGCCACCAGAGCTCCCTTCTTTTTTTTTTTTTTTAATTACATTTACTAGAACCACCAGTACAATGTTGAGTAGTAGTGATGAGAGTAGACATTCTTGCGTTATTTCTGATCTTCTGTTTTGATTAGATGCCATCCACTTGTCTGTGTCTCACAGCAACAGAGCTGAACCTTGCCCTGTTCTGCTTCCTCACACTTTCCTCCATGTTCATTCAGTACTACTATTATGTTCACTATATCGGGTCTTCTGATGAGGACCTTCCCTTTCTCTGACCCTCCCCCTTTCCCAGCGTAGTAGAATGTCATTTTTCAAAGATTGAACCCTCTAGACAAGGTGCTCTAATACGTGAGATGAAGTTTCACCATCCTTGCTTCTAAGGAGCATCCTGGTTGTATTTCCTCCAGAACAGACTTGTTTAGTGTTTCTGGTGGGGTTTTGTTTTATTTGGTTTTTTGTTTGTTTGTTTAGTTCTTGGGATATTTAGTACTCTTCTACAGCACAACTCAAAGGCATCCTTGTTTGCTGTCCAGTTTTCACGTATATTTGAAATGGAAAATAACAGTTGACTATACCATGCCTTAACAGTTGAATTCTGTCTTCTCTCACATCAGTCAAACTACCACTAGTCATGTGGATTTTGTTCTTTTATTCTGCCAGTGAATTGTATCATGCTGTTATGTGTTGTTGAGTCGAAAGCAACCCATATTTGCCTCTGCAGTGGATTTTCAGAGACTGTGCAGGAAAATACCCCTTTTTCTCTCTTGGAGCAGTTGGTGGATTTGAACCACATACCTTTGGATTGACAGCACAACCAACTCCTTACTCATTAGGCTGCTAGAGCTCAAGCTGTATCGTAGTAATTGATTTTGGCATATAAACCAGCCTTGCATTCTGGGATAAATCTCCCTTGGTCATGGTCCTTTAATTTATGGCTATTCCTATAATTTTTGCACTGTCTTCTGTAAGTTTATTGTAGTCTCAGATGTCTGTAACCTTTAAAAGCTATTTCTCGTTATACTTCGAGATAGTATGTATTATTGTTAATATATGTTTATACCATATTATGTTAACTTTTATTGGAAAATATTAAATACAAGACTTTTTTACTTTTGTAGCCTATGGACCAGCTCTTATTGAACACTGTCTTATAGAAAATGGTTTCTCTGGCAATGTCAAAATAGATGAAAAATTTGGAAGTAAAGGTATGATGTCTATTTTTTGGGGTTTTCCCCACCCCTGTTTTTTAAAAAAACTATGAAATTCATTTTGTAACATATATGCAGGTAATTCTAGATTTAATACATTTAATACCTAATTAAAAGCCAGTGTTTTCATTATGAAATAAACTAATTCAGAAGTATTGAATCAAACTAATCAAAGTACCAGTACATACTGTTGTTTTTGCTATTGCTATTTTATTTTTAATAAAATTTGTCAGATATTCACCTGGGTGAAAAAAAGCATGTTAAAATTTTCAAGAAAATAGTAAGAAATTTCTCCTTTGTTACTACCAGGAGGGATAATAGCTCATTAAAATGTATGATAAAGCTATAGTAACTGACATGTAATTTTAAGACATAATCTTTTAAAGACAGAATAGAATAATGAATCTAGGAACATGTCCAAATATATATAGAAATTTTGAGTAGAAACAATGTGCCATTACTGTCAAGGGGAGAAAGATGGATCATTTTGTAAAAGCTACTGGAACAAGAGGCTAACCAAAACATATCTTTAGTCTCTTTTTTGGTATGTACTGATTACAAACATAATTATATATAGTTAAGTATAATTACATGTGGTTTTCTTCAACACTTGTTTCAGAAACATTTCCAACTTTCTAGACAGTTGGTTAAGAATACCTGATTGATTCTTGATTGTGATTTTTTTTTCTTTCCTCTATTAGATATTGAAAAAGTACTTGCTTGTCTGCAGAAAGCTGAAGATTATATGAAAACAACATTCAGCCACTGTGGAAAGGTGCCACTTCATTTGGTTTTGCTTATTCAGTCATCAGATTTTAAATATTCATTGAGGATTGATACATGTAAATGTTATTATACTTTAGATTATTAACACCTACACTGTGCTTATTATAATGGTCTTAAAATTCCGGTGAGGTCTGGTGGCCTAGTGGCAAGAAGCTGCACTGCAATCCAAGAGGTGCATGGTTCGAATCCACCAGATGCTCTGCTGGAGGAGGAGGAAAAATCTCCTCCTGTACCAGTCAGATCTGATTTGATGGTACATACACACACACACACACACACACACACACACACACACACACACATTTAAAAAAAATTCTGTTTGTAATCTTTTCAAATTTTATAGAAAGTACGATGTCAGTATTACTACCACAGAAAGTTGAGGAATTGAAAAATTACTTTTTAGGTTATTAGACAAGATCGTGTGTATATAGGGTGGTAAGGATTTAGATGTTGAATTTGGATAAAGAAGCACATTGTAATTTGCTAGCGCTTTTCAAAGTTTTGTCATTTACACTCCTTCAATAGATTAACACCCTTTGTATTACCTCATATCTTATTTCTCTTTTTCTTATTTCAGAAAGCTACTTTTAACTTGAGGGAAGAAGTTTCTAATTATTGTAGCTAAATTCAGTCTAGATATGCTTGCTAGTTTTGTCAATGAGTTAAAATAGTGGAAAAAATGACTTTTAATGATTTACTTAAAGTGCTCATGGCTTTCCCCCCAAATTCTAAAGTGTGAGGAGAATGGAAAGGGAAAGCACACAATGTTCATGCAAATATTCCTACCACTTTTCAAATAACTAGTTGTCATTTTCTTTACTCCCTCCTTGTTTATTCTTGTCTGAATGAGCCAGTGTTTTATAATAGCACTTATGAAGTCTTTAAAAGAGTATTGAAAAATCAGTAGGTGCAGCTGATTATAGAATTGCTTTATCAATTAACTAAAGATGTTAATATCAATAATGGGAAGTAAATATTATAGGTAAAAATTAATTTTATGTTTGGATTTTGTAGGGTTATATCATTCAGAAGAGAGAAGTAAAACCACGCCTTGAGATAGATAAGCCAGTGGAAGACATACTTACGTAAGCCTGCAGGAGAGGGTCGGTTTGCTTTGAATGTTTGTTTACTAAAATTATTGACTGTAATGTGATGTATTTTACAGGTATGAGGAATTTCATCCATTTTTGTTTTCTCAACATTTACAATGTCCATATATAGAATTTGAATCATTTGACAAGGTGAGTTTTCCTATTCTCTTTGACTAAATTATTAGCATGTTATATTTTTTTAAAGTTAATGTAAAATTTGCTGCCATTGGGAAATAGTATGTATTCTTTCTTGCTTTACAATTATTATGAGCCTTGAATTAAAGATCACGATCAAAGATCAGTCTTACAGAAATAGCTGTAAGAAACTTATTTGTTGCCACTTTATTTTAAGATGATAAACTCAAGATTTGAACTTAAGTTGATTTTTTAATTTTATTATTGTGTATGTGTGTACCATCAAATCAGATCTGACTGGTACAGGAGGAGATTGTGCCTCCTCCAGCAGAGCATCTGGTGGATTTGAACCATGTACCCACCTCTGGGATTGCAGTGCAGCTTCTTGCCACTAGGTCACCAGAGGTCCCTTAAGCTGATATTTTAAAAAATTGATTCTTAATATTATTTACCTATATAAAACACCTACTGAATCTGTTCAGATTCTTTACCTTTTTTTAACTTTATTAAATTGAAATTTTAATAAAACTTTATAAAGACTTTGGATTTCCATTCATTCATTGTTGAACATTTTCCTCCCTGCCCACACCTCCCACCCCAGTTGGTGTTTCTCTTTGAAAAGTAAAAAAAAACCAAACCCAACTTTTATTATTATACAATCCCCCCCCAGAAGTCACTCCCCCCATGAAGCTCTCATTTTGGACGCTTGTCATGAAAATAATACCTAATCATATATTCCTTTTTTAAAAAAAATCTTTAGAAAGTGTCATTCATTAATTTTATCCTCTCCAGATTGTATATTTTTGCCTGTAACTTTCAACCTCTCTATACCATGGACTAAGCCTTCTAATCTTGGTCCCAGTTCGTCTCATATAAACTTTATGATTTTAGGCTATAAGTTGATTTTTATTTTTTTTTCGTTAATTTTAATGAAAGTTTACAGAGATTTTGAATTTCCTTTCATTCACTGTTGCATTTTTCTCTGTGCCCACCCCTCTCCCCAGTTTGCTCTTCTCTTTGAAAAGTAAAAGAAAAATTATTTCGTTGGTATAGAATTCCTCCGCCCCTCCTGCTCCAAGTATGCTCCACTATGCAACCTTCATTCTGGATTCTTGTCATAACCATAATACCCAATCATATATCACTTTCAAACAGTTCTTTCCGTCATCTGTTTCAATGCAGTATACATTATTTAAACCCTCTTTTCTCAGATTCCCCCTAACCCTAATGTCAGTCCTGTTTTATAGCAGTGGCATTATGCAGTGTTTGTCCCTTTGTGATTGAAATATTTCACTCAGTATAATGTCCTCCATGGTCACCCATTTTGTATATTTCATGAATTCCTTGTTTTTCAATGCAGCGTAGTATTCCATTGTGTGAATATACCAGAGCTTCTCCATCCATTGGTTTGTTGATGGGCACTTGGGTTGTTTCCAACTCTTTGCCATTGTGAACAAAGCCGCAATGAACACTGCTGTGCATATATCTGCTTGGATGGAAGTTATGGTTTCTTTAGGGTGTGTTCCCAGTAGTGGAATTGCTGGGTCAAATGGTATTTCTATTTGCAACTTTTTGAGAAAGCGCCATATTGCCTTCCATAGTGGTTGCACCATTTTATACTCCCACCAACAGTGAGTAAGGGATCCAGTTTATTCACAATCTCGCCAGCATTTGTTGTTAGATGTTCTGTCAAACTTTGCTAATCTTACTAGGGTGAAATGGCATCTTATAGTTGTTTTGATGTTCAGGTTCTTTGAATTAGTGTTATGAAATTCTGAGTGTGCAAGTTGAAGTAGAGACTTTGTTTTCTTTTTTTCAGCTAGTTACTTTGGTTTTGTTTTTGTGTTTTTAAATAAGGCTGTGGATGAATTTTATTCCAAGATCGAAGGTCAGAAAATAGACTTGAAAGCTTTACAACAGGTATGATACTATTAAAAACATTTATGCTAAATAAACTACTCTAAATGCAGTTTTATAAATGGGTAATCCTTTCATGTAGGAATGTGCAACCTTTTAAAAGTAACATGAGAATGCCCTCATTTCTTTAAATAAAGGTTGGGAGGTGGCAGGTGGAGTTCTCATTGTTAAAAGGTAGAGCTTTAGTTTGGCTATTTGTATATCACATATTCTCTGATCAGAGAAATACAATGGGAAGGTAAGTTCTGTTGCTTACTTATACTGTAAGGTTACTGTGAATTAGAATTGACTCAACTGCAGTAGGTTTATGATTTTACTTTCATAAAACTCTGCAAACTTGTCTACTAACGCATTACTATCCTAAGGAGATATTAAATAGGCCAGAATAGTGTAGGAAAGTGTCTTTCTTTCTGTACAAATAAATATATTTGTTTATTATTATATTAAATAAATATATTTGTTTATTATTATTAAGTAAACTAAATTGTGTGTGTGGTTTTTATAAAAAGCTAGACTTTTAAACTGGGCATCTTACATGATTATATCATTCTTCCGGATTTACATCTTCACAAGGATTTAAAAAACATGTTTTTCAGGCCCATTTGGAAGGCAGCTGTGCTCACCACTATACCATCAACACATTCAGGCCCATTTGTATATATTTGTAGAGGCAGAATATCTGCAGAACATTTTTGGAAATTGGTAATTTTTAAAATTTGTCTAAAGAGGTTTGAATTTTAAAGAACATCTCAATAAAGTCTTAAAATTTGTGGTGCACAAATTTGAAATTATATCGTTTTCCCTTCCCTGTACTTTTCTTTAAAGAAATTGTAAGAGAGGAAGCAGTGTGACCTCCATTAACTCCATTAGGGGAACTTTTCCCAACCAACAGCATCCACAATACAAAACCATCTCCTATGAGTTCAGACAGGTCCTGCACACTCCCCTGCCTATATGAACTAATTTCAAAATGCTTCCCTGCTTATTCTGATCAGTTGCAACACCAGTTCTACTTGATCAGAAATTGGTTGCAATCTACATAGACTTTATAAAACCATACTCATGATGATGCAGTTTATTAGAGAGGTTAACAGGTTATAATGCAGGTTGGCAACAGGATATAATTTCTCAGAATAGCTTCTAAATAATGCTCACAGGCCCTTCAGCCTTGAGACCTAATGCCTGTGTTAAAAAGCTTCTGCCGATTAAGGCGTCTGCTCCCCAGTCCTGTTTGAGTCCTGCAGCAAGCTTGGGTAAAGGCCCCTGACTTGGCTTTGTGGGGCAGCAATCCCAGGTCAGTGCTGTCTCTCATTGGCTCTCTTGTTTGCTATTGCTGCTTGCCCTCCTCTAGACCCCACCTTGAGCAATTTAGGAATCTCTAACCCCAAAGGACAAGCACTGCATTCTCTGCAGCTAGTGATATTCCCGTATTTCTACTGCTGAACCTGCTCAATTTAAACCTAGTGGAATGGCAGAGCTAACCAGTCCCCTTGTGGTTGACTAACACATCCCCATTTGCATGTTCCCACCCGTCTGTCTAGCAACGTCCAGGGCAATGGCCTACCTAGGAAAAACATTTTGGACAATTGACCCACTATGCCACAGAAATAGTAACACATGAGCCCTGTGTTTTTCTACATAGCACATTATTCATGTATGATTTTGGTAATCATCATGGACTCTTTTATAGCCGCTGTTGTAAATATTTTTAATATTTGGTAGTAATTTCATCCTACATTCAATAATTTGTGATGCCATTAGTAGTGTTAGGAAATACGCTTTCAATTTAATAACTGAAATGTTTTAGAACCTTAGATAAGAGAAACTGCAAGTTGGATAACTACTGAGAACCTTTATATTTTGAATTTAGGAAAAAGAATATTCCACAAACACTAGAAATAATGCTGAGAAAATAAAAGCAGTAAAACAAACAAACATTTGGTTAACTCATGCCCTCCAAGAATGCATTTGCCCTAAGCTTTACACTTATACCTTGAGGAAATGTCTTGAGACCTATTTGTTCGAGTAATGCATGGATTTTAGGGAAGTTTGTTGGCTATGCAAGATAACCTATAATCAAAATACCTTCTTATGTAGTCAGTGGTAGGTTGCTGGGCAGAAGGTAATTTTTCAGCATACACCACTTTGGAGTAGTTTCGGTATATGAGAATAGTGTAATCTGTAAACATTAGCTAGCTGGGTAATAATATTGAAGGGACAGACAGGTAAAAATAGGTGAGTTTTGGAAGATGAAAGAGAAAAGGTGCCAGGAAGTAGAAGTCTTAATTTTTTCATAATATCTTTCATTAAAGGAAAAACAAGCATTGAAGAAGTTAGATAATGTCCGAAAGGATCATGAAAACAGATTAGAAGCTCTTCAGCAGGCTCAGGTATTATGTTTAAATTTTTCAGATCCTTTATTTTAAAATTGTCGTTTTTAATGTTATTATAATAAATACATTTTATTTTATCTTTTCAGGAAATAGATAAACTTAAAGGAGAACTCATAGAAATGAACCTGCAAATAGTTGACAGAGCCATTCAGGTAGTTCGAAGTGCGTTAGCCAACCAAATCGACTGGACAGAAATTGGATTAATTGTGAAAGAAGCCCAAGCTCAAGGAGATCCTGTTGCAAATGCAATCAAAGAATTAAAGTTACAAACAAATCATGTTACAATGTTGCTAAGGTAAGCTTGATTCTTGATAATCTTCATTTTGCTACTTAATTGATCAATAAATTTATTTAAAGTCTTTTTTCTTATGTTTAGAAATTTATCCTTGAAGATAATAGGGGAAAATGAATTTCCATTAAAATAAATAAACTTTACTAGAACTTCTATACTCTCAGTGGAAAAAGAAAAGGGGAAATAAAAGTGATGTCATGGACTTTAGTGAAATACTATTGAATATTTTTAATAGAAATCCATACTTGTTGTCAGAGGAGGAAGATAATGATGTTGATGGAGACATTGATGTTGAGAAAAATGAAACTGAACCACTGAAAGGAAAAAAGAAAAAGAATAAAAACAAACAGTTGCAGAAGCTACAGAAAAATAAACCCTTACTTGTTGATGTTGATCTCAGCTTGTCAGCCTATGCCAATGCCAAAAAGTAAGTCATTTACAAATTTTAAAGTACAAATTTTAGCAAAATGTTGTCTGCACTGACTCAATTAATATATTTAAAAGTGTTAAGAAAAATCTTTATTTTGCCCTTACATGCCTCCTTTGGGCTCAAGTAGGGAATTTTTTCCCCCCTATGACTTTATGCATTATTTATTTTAAAATATGTTAAAATAGTATAAGAGAAGTTTTCATCAGCTGAAAGAAAGATAGACAGTTTAAACCCACCAGCTGCTCCACTGCAGAATGCCGTGATGGGGAGTCTGTGCTTCTGCGGCTGTGGTCCTGTAAGGTCACTATGCCCCGTGGAGTTGCTAGTGGTTTAAACATGACAACAGTGGGTCTTTAGTCATTTAATAGTCTGTATAAATAGAATTCCCAGTAAATAAAAGAAAGATGTCACTTAAAGTCTAAGAGTAATCTGTTTTTCAAGGTATTATGATCACAAGAGATATGCTGCTAAAAAGACACAGAAGACTGTTGAAGCTGCTGAGAAGGTATTTATGCTTCTATGCATGATAATTGTCTTTCCCTGATTTAATGTAATGACTTATTTCTTAAATTTTAATGTGGTTTTCTACATAAGAAATGCTTCAAAACATAGTTTTGCTTAAAACATGTATTTCTAATATTTTTTCCTTTCCTAAACCACCCTCTCCTAGTCTTGCCCTTCTCAGTAGATCCAGCATCTTCATTCTTCCTCATTCCTCAGGCTGAAAATATTATTCCGTATTCTTCTCTCTCCTATACTGTATCAAGCCCATCATTAAGTTATTTAGGCTGTCCCTTTACAGTGTGTTCAGAATTTACCAACTTAGCTCTTTCCTGTAGTCCAGGTCATCCTTCACCCTGTGTGTTCACATAGACTGTACTGCCTCTTACTGAGTCTCTGGTCTCTAAACTTTTCTCACTGCAGTTTGTATTCCACATAGCCACAGTGATACTTCAAAATCAAAAGTGAAATCATTTCACTGCTGTCCTTATCTTTCAGTTGTTTTCAGTCTTAGAATTCAAAGTCCTTCCCCTGTCCTATAAGGCCTTACATGATCTGCTCCTCTCTGACCTCGTCAGCTGCACTCCTGGTTCACGCTCCTTCCTAACCACACTGGAGTGTCTTGACTCTTAAACCAGTGATGCATGCTGCCATCTTGCTGCTCTTTCCCATAGGAAATTTTGTCATTTGGTCTGTCCCATCATTCATACCTGTACTTAGCTGGGACTATCAGAGAGGCCTTTCTTGGTCGCTTTTTTAAAATAGCATCCCTTTCAACTACTCTTTCTTTTCCTCTGTTTTGTTCCCTACAAGAAAGCTTTTCCCACAACATACATATTTTTTTACCTATCTTTATTTTAATTTTTTGCTAGCTCCTTCTGGAATATTATTCACTCTTATTGTCATCAAGTTGGAATTGACTCTTAGCTGACCCTCCAGAGGGTTTTCAGAAGCTGTAAATCACACAGGTGGAGATTGCCCATCTTTTCCTGGAGCAATAGCTGGTGGATTTGAACCACCTGCCTTTGTGTTAGTATTTTTAACTTCCCATTCTCTAGTTTATCAGGGCTCCCTTACTCTCCTTGTATCTTTTTTTTTTGTTTGTTTTTCTGTTTTTGTATCTTAAAAGATACATAACATATATTCAACAAATTCTTTTTTGTCTTCCTTCGAAAATGTAGGATACGTAAAAATAGGTTCTGAGTCTCTTTTGTTCATTGCTATATCCCAGCCCCGATATATTAGGCAGCTTTAAGAGAGGTACTTTAACATCTAAAGTGGCCTTCATCATTTGACTGTCTCTCTGCCACTTCATTTCTTGACACATTATGCTGTGATCGCTATTCACTGGTCAGACTGGCCTTCTGTTTTTGCTTGTATTTCTTGCCCAGTACTTTGCCTTGATAATTCCATGAATTCTGTAGCTTAAGTGCCACTTCCTCAGAGATACCTTCTTTGATTATAGTCACACATACGTTGTTGTTGTTGTTGTTGTTGTTGTTATGTACGGTGAGTCAGTTCTGGCTCATGGAGACCCTGTGTGCAACAGAGTGAAACTCTGCCTGGGCCTGCACTAACTTCACGGTCACTGCTGTGCCTCAGTCCACTGTTGTAGCCACTTTGTGACTCAGGGAAGTTCTTTCTTTTTTCCACTGACTCTTTGCATTACTAAGCTTGCTGTCTTTCTTCAGAGAGTGGCCCCTTCTGATAAATGTGCTTAAAGTGTGTGGAAAAAAGTTTTACCATCCTCACCTTCGAGGAGCCTTCTGGCTGCACAAACAGATTTGTTTGTTCTTCTGGCAGTCCATGGTGTAGCCCCTATTCTTCACCAGCGGCCCAATCCAAAGGCATTACTTGTTCTTCAGTCTTCTATATTCATTATGCAGATGAAGTAATTGAAAATACTAGGGTTTGGGTCAGGAAGAGTTTAGTCTTTATGTAGACATTCTTGCTCTTTAGCACTTTAAAGAGATCCTTGGCAGCAGATTTGCCATTATTTAGTATCTTGACTGCTGCTTCTATAGGTGTTGATTGTGGATCCAAGTAAAATGAAATCTTTGACAGCTGAATGAAATACCCTTATTGTGCTAGCCTTAAACAGCAATGATTGTGAAGATGGTGAAGGCCTGGGCAGTATTTCTTCTGTTGTCCGTAGGGTCACTAAGAGTTGGTACAGACTCGATAGCACCTAACAATAATATTATATTGTCATGGTATTCTTAGAAGCACTTACCGTCACATTTATTTAGGTGATTATATATTTAGTGTTTCTCTCGCCTTATAGACTATAACCGCTGTAGGAAGGTGAGAGCTTTTAAAAAATTCATTATTCTCATCCACCAGATGCTCTGCTGGAGAAGGAGGGGCAATCTCCTCCTGTACCAATCAGATCTGATTTGATGGTACACGTAAAAATAATAAAATAAAAAAAAAATTCATTATTCCCTCCACAGCAACTAGCCCAGGGTCTAGTACATAGTAGGTACTCAGTAAGTGCCTGGCTCTTCTTAATTTCTAAGAGTAGAACAAATTTATTTATTTTTTTTTTTTTGGTACATGGATATTTTAAAGGGGTTTTTTCTTTTTTCTTTTTTTTTTTTAACAAACATCTTTAGTGGCACTATGGGGTAAGCATTGGGTTGCTAACCAGAAAGTCAGTTATTTGAATTCACCAGTAGCTCTGCAGGAGAAAGATGACTGATTATGTGCGCTCTCAGAGATTGACGGTCTTGACAACCCTATGGGACAGTTCTTTTCCTATTGGGGCATTGTGAGTTTGAACAGATTTGACAGCAATGGATTTTTTGTTTTCTTTTTAGCAAATACTTTTTTTTTCTTTTTCTCTTTTTTTTGTTCTTTTTTTTAACAAATACTTGAGTGTTATAAAATCTTTGGCTTAAGTTACTTTAAAATATACAGGAAAATTTATTTCTGCCTTATTTTTATGTGTTTGGACGAGGGCTGGGAGGTTAGTGTAAATAGTGCCAGTTTGTGATGTTTTTAAAACTGTATTAGTTTGTCATTTACTTTGGTATTATACCAATGAATTATCAATGAAATAAGATTCTTTTGAAAACTTTTCTTTGAAATAGGCATTCAAATCAGCAGAAAAAAAAACAAAGCAAACTCTAAAAGAAGTCCAAACAGTAACTTCTATTCAAAAAGCAAGAAAAGTTTATTGGTAAGTGTTCTACGTTTAAAATATTATTTTTCATTTTTATTAAAATGGATTCACATGGTTTAGAGTACAAAGGCTGTCAGAAAAATCAGTAGCCCTGCAGTTCTTTGCTCAGCTTTCCTGTGGTTTGTACCTTATGGAAATGAATTTTTACTCTTTTAGCTGATTATTTATCTCCATTTCTTACTATATTTCTTCCCCTTGATTTTCTGTTTAGACCCTGTCTGTTGACTTCCCACTGTGGAATATGATGGTTTCCTTTCTTCCTGTGCTCAGTTAAACAAACACACTGTCCAGATCCTTGACTGATCTTTCAATTTGCTGCTACTTCCTCTTGTTCAGTGCTATCTTTTAGCTCTGCATTCTGCGATTTCCTCCATCTTTGTTTCTTCTTTTTACTTCTGAATTTATTTCTTTCTATTGCATTTTTAATTTTAAAAGCTCTTTTGGATGTTTCTTTTTATGACTTTTTTGTTCCTTAATACCTTGAAAATAGTTGTGACAAACTTCGTTTTAGTTGGATTTTGGTGTTCAGCTTTCACGTTTGAGACTTTGATGATTCTTGATTATTTGCTCACACTTTAATCGTGTTGACTGGAAGTTCTCTGTTGTTGAGTGGACATATAAGGACATATAAAGTGGACACATAAGTCATATAAGTGGGAACAATTAACAAACATGTTCATAGCTAAGAAGAAGATTGAAGAATTAAAAGTAAAGGGTCAAAGGAGCTCTGGTGGCCTAGTGGCAAGAAGCTGTGCTGCAATTCTAGAGGCATGTGGTTTGTTTTTTGTTTGGTTTTTTTTTTTTTTTTTTTTTT